ATCATGCTGTTTTTTATAACCTTAGGGTTTCTTCAAAAGACCCCACTATGACCAATTTTTTTGATGCCCTCGATAAAGCTACATTAAGACGGCGAGGATCGCTCATTAGAGACTTGGTGGAATCCCTTCCCAAAAACAAGATTACAAGAGCCGACTCTTTGCCTTGCATGCTATCGATTGTTGAAAATAGAGCGTTTATTTTCAAGCTAGGGTAGTTTTGAGACTTAAATTCATCACAGAAGGCATAGAACGAATCCCTAAGGTTATCCAAAACAGCATGATATGGTGACAAAACGGCTACCTGATGTTGGTCATTTTCGGGGTCCAAACCAAAACTATAAACCATCAATAGGCTCTTTAAAATGATGAGCTCAGCTGACGTATTTTTTGACTTGCCAATATCGATGCCAACTAAAGATCGCTCTAGAGTATTTGGATGAAAAGCAGAAAAAGATTGCTTCCACGGAACGCCCATACAGGCGCTTGTACCGTTTGTTGACCAATTTAAAACATCCAAAAACGTATGGCTTACTTGTGTCTCCATAAGATCGGAATAAAATAGGCTGTTGCAAATGGAAGAAAGGTGGGAGTTCATCCTAAATTGCGATTTTAGCACGGAAAGTTTCACGTCGTCGCTTCCATGAAGTACATGTTGTGGAAGCTCAAGTACAGCCTCAAAAAACGATGGGAACGTATTGTTGCTATTTTGGCCAGAATTCAGGCTCAATAGGGGTCTCAACTGACAGTGATCACCAATAAGAATAGCGAGAGGCGCATACCGCAATGGGAAAATGGACAATGGAAGAAGGATTTGCGATGATTCATCGACAACAACAGCAGAAAATTTGACCTTTGAATGCGCAAATGAAGCCAAGCCCAAAACGGTTGAAAAAACTATGCGGCAAGCTGGGCTAGGCTCTGATGGCAATTGATTGCAAGGGATGTCAAATAAGCCTGCATTTTCTAAAGCCTCCGGCTTTAACGAACTCAAAGATCCATGATCCGCTTTTGAATTAGAATGTCTATGTATGAGGGCGGAAATATTGGGAAATAAATCATTGATTTTTTCTATAATGGCATCAATGGCAGCATGTGTAAACGTGGTAATTAACAGGTTACTATGGGCCGGAAAAGTCATTAAAAATTGATATATAAATAGGACCAGAGAGCGAGTCTTTCCGCACCCTGGCATTCCAAGAACTAGATGTATTCTTTGGGAAATCTCTTGAAAAGGTTTTTGTGTGTGGTCAAAATTTTTTTTGATGGAATCTAACCAACAGGAAACGGCCAAACTTTGGTTCGGATGAAGATATTTTTCAAGAACCGAATATTGATTTTTATTTGATGTACTATTCAAACTAGGACATTTGAACAGCGACAAATCAAAAGGTTCCGCACAAGAAGACTTGGGCTTAATAATTGGATTCTCAAAAATAGGTTTATATGCAGCATCACAATCAATAGCATCTAAAAGAAATGAGGGTTGTGATCTCCAGCCAACACTGCCCTTTTCATTGCGACAAATATAATATTTAAGTTCAGAAAAATCAAATCTTTCGACCTGTTTAGAGGTGGTTTTAAGAAATTCGATGAACACCGAAAAGGGATCAAATGGCAATTTGATACCGATTTTGACTTTTCCGCCACTTGAGCTCAATTTGAACAATACAAAACAGCCAAAAACTGGAAACGTTAAATTGGGAAAATAATAAGCCAAGTCAAGCATCAGAATAGAAGGGTCTCCCAATCTAATCGGTGGAGTCTCTTTACAGATTTTTCCAGAACACAAAGTCAAAACTAAAAGGAGCGTGGATGGGGCAAAAGAGAGAAAAGACAAGGCTTTGATGCCAAGCCAGTCTGAATGGTCAGGAAAAGTGGAAATAATATCATAAGTCGATTGATAGAGTTGCTGTTGTTCCGTTGTTAACACTTGATGCCAAGAATTGAAAAAATCTTTGGTAGCAAGTGGAGCCCCATTGTTTTGCAGGTTACTCAATCGGTTGCATGTTCGTTTGACGGGACATATATTGCATTTCCAGGAAGAAGAATGTTGTAAAAAAGGAAAAGGCAATTTTGAATAATGGCCTCCTCCTAATATTCCAAATGCAATTTCATTTCTCCTAAAAAGAAGGGAAACTAGATGCCGAGAACATGAGCCAACTTCTTCAAGGGAATGGGAATTTTCGGGTATTTTTTGCCTAAAATCGAACGAAATGTAGGATAGTAATGAGGACTGAATTATGTCCTTGTCAGATCTCATTAAGAAAGACAAATAACAGATCAAAGAATGGTAAAGCAAAAGCTGTGCCTGATGACTAGAGTTTTGTTGCGAAGGAGCCCCGGATTTTATCTCTAAAGCTGCTATTTTCCCATTCGTTGTCAAAACAAGAGCATCCAATTTCCCTTGAATTCCTAAAGAAATCGAGAAGATTGGGAATTCAACAGCAATGACCTTGGCAATTTGGACACTGTTGCTATCACCAAAAGAGGTAGGTATGCCCCTTGCTGAGGGAAAATACGCAGAAGCCCACTGTTGCAAAATTGACACAAGCTGATTTTGAGTGGAACCATCATTCAGGGGAAACATTAGCGAAGCATTGATGGCATGCTTTTTGGGAAAGTCTTCTATAAAGCTCAAAATTGTTGCAGCCTGGAAATCAGCATTGATTAAGCATTTTTCCAAAAGAAAATGCAACAAATTTCCTATTTGCATCTTTTCGGTTGATTCTGGAAGCTCTCCTTCTGGGTCGCATAATGGATATGAAAGAGATATTGCAGTTCTTCTTTCGCAAAAAAAAGAGTCCGCTATACTTGATCCAGTAATTAAGATATGAGGTGCGAAAATGGGAACCATGTGAATATCGCGCGAAATAAGGCCTGTTTTGATGGTAATCATTTCCTCATGTGAATTCCTATTAAAAACGAGCAGTTCCTTTATAACACTCTCAAACTTAATAGGGTAGGTTGAGGAAACAAGAGCCAAATTAAAAGATTCGCCCACCGAAATAAATTGGTCTACAACCCATTTTTTCTTCTGCAAACACAAAGACTTGAAAGAATATTCTATCAATTAAAAATGCTCTAATGTCACCTTTTTCAACGCAAGGTATGCATCTTTCCAATGTTTCCCATGATATGGAGACGTATATTGAAATATCTCGGATGCAAATTTGTTGAGTCAGTACTGAGTTGATACCTTTTATCGAAAGGACAGAAACAATGAGGCCCGAATCGTGTGCAAAAATCTCCTTTATACTTATCTGTATGGCAGTAAACTTGCCAATGGCTTCTTCTAAACTGCTTATCGTTTCGATTTGAGTTGCACATGCAAAAAAGAGTTCATTGTCATCTTCAGTGATATATTTAGAACCATCTTCAACGAATTCCTGGAGCTCACTATTGAAAAATAGACTCTCCGAAGATAGTATTAAATTATCGAAATAGTCTTCATTCTCATTCTCATGCTGATTATCATTGTGAGTCTGATTCTCACCAAGATTAACATTAACATCATAATCATCACTAAAAAGATCCTTTGGATCCTGATGCTTCAAAATCTCCATAGGGGTCACCGATTCAGAAACATGCAAGGCGTGATTGCGTACTAGCGGTGGTAATTGATAAATGTACTTTTTAATCTTTTTCGACGGTGGTGATGGAACCCAACTAATGTAAGGCTGTGAGCTACTGCAAAACTCATTTGAAGCCTCAATGTTATCATCGTCTTCCATTTAGGGGGGGAGCAGCTCCAACCCTTAGAAGATTTTAAAATTACACAGTACACCATTTACAACGTTTGCATGCCACATTTAAAACCAGTGCTGGAAGAATGTCCCAAATCACACATTCACCAAACAATTAAAATTTAGAATTTAATGGA